GCTTGGGCCGCAGCCGTTGAGCTTTTACCCGCTTCTCTCCGCCTTCTCTGTTCTCGCCTTTACCCTCGCTGTAGACGGTTTGTGTGCGCGCGGTGTGGAATCCGTTAGCGCGGTTCGACACCGCCCCAAACACCCCCCTTCGTACGCAGCGAGCCGCTAATAGCGGGTATATTTGTGTCAGAAAATGTAAGCGGCGCGTTCGTTGCTCGCAAACTTCGTACAGGTCAGATTGGGAGAGTTAACTTATATAAGCGGTGGTGTTCTGCCACTGCTGCCCGTTGTCCCGGGGTTAGCCGCGTTACTCGTCCTGTGGGTTTGCTTGCTCTTATTGGCTCTGTGAGCTGTTTGCTAAAGTGTCTGCGTGGCCAAGAACCGCAAAACGTGCCGCGTGTCCCAAAACGCTCAGGGAAGAAGTTGTTCTGGAGGTTTTTAGTGTTCTCTGGTCGCGCTGCATAATGGCGCTGGGCGTAGCTACGCGTGAAGCTGTCCAGTAACCTCTGCTTCAGCCCGTCTAGACTTCCTCTTCACCCCTACCACCGGCGACGTGATATAAGCCGATATCGGGCACCCTGTCGGAACCGTGCGCTACTTCAGGACTGCCGAGAGTCGGAGGTTAACAACCTCTCCGGTGCAGCGGGAGAGGGCAGTGTTGGTCCAGCAGGACAGGCTTGTTTAGTGTTTCCAGGTTTCCTCCTGAAGCGTAAGGGGAATATTCACATTTACCCTGTGTAAGAGTCAGGTTTATCTTGGGAAAAAACGTGAGCTTGCCTGCACTTACGAGCTGAGTCTGTGGTACTAGAGTCATTTCTTCAGTGAAGAACAGGCATCTGCTGGCGGGGGGAGCTGGGGAGCTTGCTGTTATCCCATGTAAAGACCCTAAGAGAGCCTTTCACAGCAGGATTATTAGCACTGGGAGAACATCTGACAGTCTGACATCGATTCTGAAGGTGACAGCTTATTCTTGAAACCTTTTGCTGTGATAAAAATGTCTCCCAATCCATTATTCTTGCAAACGTGTTTCTCTAATCTGGGAAAGCTGTTCTGAAAGTAAACTAAGCATCCTAGTGCACCTGGTATTAGCTGGCTGTGCTGACTCTCCTGTCTTCACAGACACACTGTGCTAGACTTTCCTTGTACCAGTGAGGAATTTACAAAAGGGAACATTGTTTATTCATCAGAAGTGTGGTGCATGGAGTGATTGTTCCTCAGATGTATACACCCAGAATAACAAATGACTCTTCTGAAATCTGTTATCCAGAAACTGTCACATAGCTCTTAAAATGGTTTAAGTGCTGCCTTTCTGACGGTAACAAGCAAATCTGTTTCATACCTCACTGATGTAAACCGACAAAGGTCTTTTCACATCTTCTTGCATTTCTTAAAAGTGAAGAAATAGTGCTAGTATTTCTAGCCTCATATTACCTTAACTAAGAGAAAGGCCAGGTGGATTCAGGCCTAATTCAGATTACAAGAATACTAAAGTTAGTTAATGTATTTGTAGCTGTTATCTTGAGATGTAAATGTCTGTGCTGTTTGCCAAAGATCTGTGAATAGCAGTGTTCCCTTCACTAGGGAGCAGAGCTGAGAAAAGTGAAAGGTCACACAAAGGTGCCTGGAGTAGGTGGATATGATGTGAAATGTGCTGGAGAAAGGAGTTGTGGGTTGTGTGTGGGTTTTCTGCATATGATGGCTGCATGAGTAAGTCTTAATTAAAACTTTTGTGGTAAAAGTGTAGATTGAGAGAAGATCTTACTTGATCAAGGTAGTGGATGTGTTGCCATTGTGGTTTTAAGGCAACAGTGGCTGATTTTGATGTAAAAAAGCTGGACTGGTTATGTTGCTGGCTTCTGCTGTGATCAAAATATGAATAATTGACTGTCTTTCTGCCCTTCTTTATATGCATTTGTAGATGAAGTCCTCTAGGCTCTTGTCATTATTTCCCATACTGTAGGGCTATTCATAGCTGCCTGTATTATTACCTAAAGGAAAAACGTAATCTAAAGGAACAAGGCTTTTGCCAAGTTCACTGGCAAGGTTTCAGTGAACTTCTGCAAAATTAATTTGGGCTTTGGTAACTTCCACTAGAGTAGTACCTCCTCTATTATCTTAGTTTACTGTGGTTAGAGGTTGTATCAGGCAAGATCCTGGTGTATACATGGACTCTGGTTTCAGAGTATTGTCGTGTCTGAAGGGAAATAAATATATTTGTGTTTTGTCAAAAGTATCCTTAAATTTTAACTTTTGGTTGTGTATAGTTCAGTGAGCAGGATTGTGCCTTAACCCAGGAGATGAACATAGGGGAAAGTACAGATCTCAGAGTTGTTTCTGTGGGTGAAGATGTTCTTTGACAGTGGCAGTTTTGTACTCATCAATGCATTTCTTATCCTTTTTTCTTTTAGGTGTCTGTGGAAACATTTCTAACTGCAGTTCGTGTATTGGCAATGACACAAGTGTAGCAGGCTGCAAGTGGATCAGCTGTGAAGGTAAGGAGGACTAAACAGTGCAGATCCTTACTATGCCATGCAGAACCTTAGACCCAGCTAGGTGTACTATGTTAATGTTAATTGCACAGATATACTGTTCTGTGTGATAATCTAATGGAGCATTAATTCTAAGTTGTATCTGTTGTTGTGCATGTTAAGGTGTTGAGACAGCTGAACGTAGTCAAAATAATCCCAGATTTTTAAGGCTTCTAATTTATATCTGTGCTCTTGATAAGCTGTGTTTTCCAGATGGTTCATAATGTTTGTAGAACAACCTAGTGACTTGTGTTTGGTATTAGGAGTCATGAGTGGGTTCTGATGTGCAGGGACATTGCTGTGCTTCAGTCTGTTTTGAGGTTTTGTCCTAGAACTGGTGGACATAACCACTACTCCTGAATTGAAGTGCAATAAGGGAAGAGGAGTCCATTAGATAAGAGCAGCTAGAGAGTAGTGTTCTAAAACTAAGAATTGCAACCCACTGATGGGAACATGACAGGGCCAAGGAAGCATTAGCTAGTCTCATTCAGAGCCTTGTTTTTCCTCATTGTGGAGGGTTGGATATAACTACATTTGGGTGACCTCTAGTACTCAGGCCTGGAGGAAATGAAGTTGCTGTTGACAAAGCCCTGCAAAGATGACATAAGTAGTCCTTGGGTAGATTATTTTTACCTTTTATGTGAGGTGGAAACAGTTTCTAAGAGGACAGAATAGCTTAACTGTGATAGTGATTTTGTAGTATGTGATTGTAGATGACCAAGCAAGGTTATATAATGAAGGTTAAGATGCTTCAGAACTAATGAAAAGTAGTTTGGATTTAACTTACCCGGTATAAGAGTGTCCTTGAAGAAGCTCTTCTGAATCTGTGTAACTTCTTGGGGAGAGGTTGAAATCTGAGGGAAGGGAGAAAAGTATGCAGGCAGAGAATGAGAAACTATCTTCAACAATTTCAAGGTCAAGGATCTGTTTAAAAAGCTAGAACTTAAGTTCTGCTTGTATGCAGAATTTAAGACAGTAAGACTTTTTTTTTTTTTTAAATGATGCTACCATAATGCAAAATGTTCAAATTGGAAAATGCCAGAAATAGTAGAAACACTGTAGCTAATTTTATGGGCTATGAAGAAGAAAATACCAAGCTATACTGTTATTGTAGAATACTAAGCTATACTGTTATAACGTATAAGTGTTGCCTAGGTATTGTTTTGAGTGGTAAAGTAGCTGTGGTTTAAGAAAATACTGAAAGTTTACTAATTATTACAATACTGAAGTCCTGCATATTGAAGTGGCTTTATGTTATCCTGGCTAGAAGATGATGTTTAGTTTGTCCTATCAACAGTTTATTACTATTTATGAACAACATCTCAAACACTTTAAAGTTCTGTTGCTGTAAATATTCTTGGCTCTTTTCTGACAGGAGGCACAGGCACGTGTGTAAATGAAACAGAAGTAGCTTCGATGAATGAAAGCTGTAAAGTTGAAGAATGGTGTTCTTGTAAGTATTTAGAAACTTGATTTTCACATTGTTTAATGTGAAGTAGTTGTGTTTACAACTCCTTCATCTGCTGACCTTTGTTAACATGCCTTCTACAAGTTAAATAAGCATGTACAAGTATGTAAATAAGCTCTTTGCTGCCAGCTTAAACCTATGATATATGATACTAAAATACACAATTTTGCTGTGCATTCAGTTTACTGCTTACTGTTGCTGCTTTAAAAAGCCTTACATACTTCACTAGGCACATGTCTCTGGCTGCTACCTTGGTTTCTCAAATTAAAATGGGTGATGTTTCCTATTAGATGTAGCACATCCTAAGGAATTTGTCAGCATCCTCAAGACAGCTTAATAGTCAACAAGAACTTTCATCTGCTAAGTCTGCTGCTTCATCTGAGATGCAAGAAATAGGAAAAGCTTATGAACATTCCAGTTTTAAGTGTTAAATAGCACAACATTTCATGCAGTTCTTAAGTGTAGGGTCTGGGTTATAGAGCTGTGTAAGGTAAATCCTTCATGCTAGGAACACGTTAAGTTGCATATCTACTTCAGTCTTTTAATTTGTGCTTGCTGTGCAAAGCACATATGTGGGATATGAGTAATTCAGATTAAATCTTGAAATTCACTGTTGTGAAAGCCCACCAATTTTAGTTTTTCTGAAAGCTGACAAAAAATGGACTTGAAAATAGGATTTTCTGGGTTTAAGATCTAGAACAGCAAATGAAAATCCTTAATACTCTAGAGGAGTTCAACAGTGCTGCTAAAGAGGTTGGCTCACACCAACAGAGATGAAGCTTCCATGCTACTGTGGTGGTGGTGGCAGTGACAGCCAGTCAGATATGATTCCACTTGGACTTCCTGTGTTGTTTCTAAAATTATAACAATCTCCTTTTAATCAAGAGTATTAAAAGTACTGTTTTTCAGTGCTTTGCAAAGAGCATGGTGTTACAGTGTCTTGTTCTGTATCTAAGAGTAGAATTTCTACAATCTGTTCCTGTTAAACGTCCAGTGACGTTTATAAGGTTGTTGTGTTTTAGCTGCTGCGTGTTCAAGGAAACCTAATTGTCACCATTAGTAGAGGATCTTTGTTGGTGCGGGAGGAACCAGTATAGCTTATCAGCTCTTAGCTTAGCACTATGTTTGAGGACTAACATGGAAGAACGGCAGGGTGGCCCTAACCTGACTTGATATGAATGTGACCTGAGAGAACGTATATTCTGATCTTTCAGCCTATCTCTGTAGAAACAGTCAGCTCTGGTTTCCCACCATGCTGAATTGCTTCAAGGTGTAAATAACCACACTTAAGTGAGCCTGAGCTCAGTTCTGGACATAATGGTATTTCAGCA